TTAACTTTTGGGTTATTTACAAGTGTATTGTTTACTTTTCAAGTATTTGGAGGATTTTTAGGATTTATTATGATCTTTATTATTAATCTTTAGTTTAATACTATTGGGTGAATTAATATACTCTGTATGGTTTCAGACCTTTGACATTTATTGAGACTTGTTTAGTGACCCAGCATATCTTCTGTCTTGGTGAATATTTCATGTGTGCTTAAAGAGACTTTATTTTGCAGTGTGGCTTTAATGTTCTAGAAATACCAGTTAGTTCATGTTAGTGTTAGAAATACGTTAGGTCATGTAAGTGTTAGAACAGTTCAAATTCTTTTTCCTTAGTGTTTTTTTTTGTTGGCCAGTTCTATCAGGGGTAAGAAAAGGGTGTTAAGTTTTCAGCTATTGTGGTATGTCTATTTTCCCTTTGGTTCTTTAAATTTTCCTTGTGTTTCAAAGCTCTGTTATTAGATGCATTCACATTTATGATTGTTTTATATTCTTACTGTTTGACTCTGTATCATATGAAATGTCCTTCTTTATCTTTGGTAATATTCTGTGTCTTGAATTCAACATTGCCTGGTATTGATGTAGTCATTTTAGTTATTCCAGCATTCTTATACTAGATGTTTCCTGGTGTATCTTTGACATTCTTTTACTTTTAACCTCAGTCTTTAAAGTGTGTTTCTTATCAATAAGATATAGCTGAATCTTACTTTTTTTCATCCAGTGGGAAATCTCTACTTTGTGCATGGAGTTTCAGACCATTTACAATTATTAAATTATTATTATGGTTGACTTTTTAGTTAATCATCATACTGTTTTCTATTTGATTCTTTCCTTCCTTCCTTTTCATGATTGAGGTTTTTTTAGTATATATATTTATCTCTAACTCTATTCACTTACTTGTATATATCTTTGTTTAACCTTGTAGTGGCTACTCTAGAGAGCACAATATGCATGTTTAACTCACCACGGTCACTTTCAAATAATTTTGTTACACTTCATCAAAATATAAGAAACAGTACAATTGTATATATTCCCACCCTCTATTTGTTTTGTTTTTGTTTTAACATAATTTACTTATTATATACATATATGTTTTATATCATACACATACATATTAACCATAATTAAAATAGATTCTTTAATAAAACTTACCCACTTACCCTTTCTGTTGCTCTTTTTCCTTTTTTGTAGATATAGGCTTCTAACTGGTATAATTGCCTTTAGCATGGTATATTTTGTTTAGTATTTATTATAGGACATATCTGTCTGCTGAAGAAAATTTTCTTGTTTTGTGTATCTGGAAGTGTGTTTATTTCACATATATTTCTGAACAGTAGTTTTATCAGATATGGAACTCTAGGTTGTCAGAGGGTCCCCTCCCTCCAACACTGTAAATACTACATTTTCTTAATTTTTAGCTCTCCATTGCTTCTATTCAGAAGTTCAGCTATCATTCTCATTGGTGTTATAAGATTTGTAATTAGATCTTTTTTCCTCTGGCTACTTGTAAGGTTTTACTCCATATGTTTTGTTTTTATAAGTTTGACTGTGATATGCTTAGGTGTGATTTTTCTTTACAGTTATGTTGCTTGGGGATTATATAGCTTATTTTGAATCTGTGGGTTGGTACTTTTCATCAATTTTGAAAATTTGGGGACTTCTATCTCTTCAAATATTTCTTCATTATTTTCTCTATTTTGTTAACTCCAGTTATATGTATGTTAGATCTTTTAATGTCCGTAATTTCTAGGAGCTCTCCTTTTTTTTCTGTTTCATATTGGGTAAATTTTTGGACCTATTTTAAACTTTATTGGGACTATTTTTATTGATCTCAGACACTATTCTAAGATCCTATTTTTTTCCTTTGTATATTTCATTTTGCATAATGTCTGTTTAGTTGTCTTCACATTCATGGATCATTTTTTCTTCTGTATCTAGTCTGATATTAAGCCCATTGAATGAATTCTTCATTCTGATATTTTATTTTCAGCTTTTTCATTTAATTCTTTTCTATAACATATGTTTCTCCACTACAATTCCCCATCTCTTCATGCTTATTAACTAGTATTAACTAGTCTTTTTATTAGATTCTATAATATTTATTACAGTTAAAGTTTCATCTGTTAATTACAAGCTCTAGGCCACTTGTATGTATGCTTCCATTGACTTTTTTCTTTTACTCTAGGATCACATTTTTCTACTCATTTACATTAAAATTTTTTCCTGCACATAGGATATTATATTTAGAATAGTAGAGACTAAAAATAACAACTTCTATGATAGTTCAGACTTTGGTGAATTGGAAATGCTCAGGGGAAGGCAAATAAAGTAAGAACATTGACATAATTTGTACCCTATGGGCTGGAAAACCATTAGAGTAGTCACATGTTTTTTTTTCCCTATAAGAATGACACCTAATTTTTTTGAAATGTCTCATACTTAGAAAAGCAGACATCTTGGTAGAGGTTTAATATAGGGAGAAATTTATTTTAGTATAATTTATAAAAAATAAAAAAATCAGAGACTAAAATGACAATAATGAGGACATCACTACATTATTACAGTTGACTTACAAGTAGGTATTAATCTGTTCTAGAATAATTTTAAAGATAATTTCCATGATATGTTTTTAAATAGGATGTGAGCATATAAATCTGGAATTGTTGTAGATATATGACTAGATGTAATTGGGGCCAAATTGAGGTAATCTACATGGTAGCATCAGGTGGTGCTCTTTATTTTTTCCCTTTATAGTTTTTGTATTTTTCCAGTGGTTATGGATTACTGTGATAATTTTTTTTAAACAGTATCATATATACCAAACGAGAAATGGTAATCTATTACGGAAATTTTGCTTGCACTTAGGAAGATAGGGCTTAGGAGATTTGTGGCCAAATTTTAGAAGGGATTCAGGGTCTGATCTCTGGCTTCTGTTCTCTGCCTGAGAATATAACCTTTCTGAGTGGCTTAGCTTGGATTTCCGAGCAAGCAAAGCCGAGGTATAACCTCATATTTTACTTTTTTGGGAGAATAATCCTAGGGAAGCTGAGAAGCAGAGTTAAGGGAAAGGAAAATGAGGTGGTACACTTGGGAGACCAAAAGGAGGTTGAGTTATTGAGTCAGCCAGTGCTTAATATTGATCAATTTCAAAGGACTTTTGGGAGTTTATATAAATTATTATAAATCAGAACATTTCATCCTGGAGGAAGAAAGGAGAATTTATCTTCTGGCTTCCTTTTCTCATTAGTTAAGGATTTAACCCCCTAGTATTAACTGCATACATTTCTGGGTTGTGCATTTGGGTGCTAGGAAGGCCACAGGGTTCAGTGACACAGGGAAGCTTGAGATGGGAGCTGAGAGGTACAGAAGCATGAAGGAAGGCACAGCTGTCTTATGAAGTCAGTTGACTGTGTCTCGGATGTTACAAAAACTCTTGGTAATAGTTTCATTTAGTCTTCATCACTTACGATTTCAAATACATTGTTGTAAGCATTACCATGAATTTTCAGAAAGCCTACTTGTTGTAGAGAGAATACTTTTGGAGTATACCTAATTCAAATCCAATCAGGAAATAATGGCAGAATCAAACAATACACTTTGACTATTGGCTGGTCTATTGTATATAAAATGTTACTTTACTCAAAAGATACTGTTCATCATTTTACTTCATGTAAATCTGTAATGTGTTAGGTATTATCACAATCATTGTAATGACATCTCTCCCACCTGTTATCACCTGAATGTGTTAATTTCTGATCAAATGTATATTTTGTTTATAACAATTCTAATGATTTTAAATAACCAAGATAAATTTTTAAACTAGTGGTAGATTTTGTGACAGTTTGCAAAATATACTCTATCTTTGGGAATATAGCCTAGAGAATCAACAAGTATCTTTAAACAGGATTAAAAAAATGTTTTTAATGTTCTCTTATTGTTGGGAGAGAGAGAAAAACAGAGCATGAGTTGGGGAGGGACAGAGAGAATGGAGACACAGAATCTGAAGCAGGCTCCAAGCTGTCAGCACAGCCTGACGCGGGGCTTGAACTCATGAGCCATGATATCATGACCTGAGCCAAACTTGGGATTTCAAACAACTGAGCCACCCAGGCACCCCTACTGTTTTTGTTCTCTAGATAGTGCCTTTCCTCATTTTTATTATTAAATCAATGGGAAAGTATCGAATATTATTTGATTAATTTAAAAAATCTACCCACTTTTAGTGGATTTTGGTAGTGAATATTATTGTAGGAAGCTGACAGTTTTGTTTTCTCTACCAATTAATTATAATATCTTGGCCTAATTATATACTCTCAGTGTTTCAGTTTCTCATCTATAGAGTATTAATAGTAATATCTGCCATAGACATCTACCTCATAGAAGACTAAAGTATGTATGTGAAAATATACAGCAGTTTCTATGGGGCATAGGCTATATTTTACTAATTACTGCATACCCACTGTGTCATTCAGTATATGTTTGTTGAGCTGAAAATAAGTCACTCTGTGGTTTTTTTACTTGTTTTTTATGATGCCTATTATTATTATGAAGTGCTTTAAATAGTGTAAAATTTAAAAAAATCTCCTTAATATATATTTTACTTTCATTTGGATTAAATCTGTACTTTTTTGATGTTATGGTACATGGATGGGAGAGATATTATGAAAGCACATGTCAAGTAACTAAATATTCTAATTAAAAATTTTGGAACTTTTTAAAAGTATACATTTAAGGTACTATGATGACTATGATACTGCTTAATGGTATTACAGATTTAGATGAAGTGAAATAAGGAAGCTGTATGGTACTGTAAGTCATGAATTTTCAGCCTGCAAACCTGTTCACGTGGTTTATAAATTGTGTTTAGTAAATACTAATTTTTCTTACTTTAACTGTGACTATGTCCTTTTTGGTTGGAGTGTTTGGACTGATTATTTTGTACAATTGTAAACTTGTAAAATTAATGTAATAACTTTTTATAGAGTTTTCTTTTTAACTTTTCACAGGTATTATTCTGCTCTAAAAACTATGGAACAGTTAGAGAATGTATATTTTCCCCGGGTTAGTCAATACCGGTTTTGTCAGCTAATGATAGAAAATCTTCCTAAACTCCGTGAGGATATTAAAGAAATTTCCATGTCTGATCTCAAAGACTTTTTGGAAAGCATTCGAAAACATTCTGACAAAATAGGTGAAACAGCAATGAAACAGGTGAGAATAAAAAGGAACATTTTAATTTAATGTTATTCAGTGATTTAAGTTATAGAATATATCTAAAGTTTACTTTTTTTAGTTATATAAAATGCTTATTTTTGTTCAGTTTAACCCTTTTCTTATCTTTCTTGAATCTTGCTTGGAGTGGTTTTAATCAGTATTTTATTTTGGTTTGCAGTCATTCCGCATTTAAGTAAAGTCAGTCTAACTTGACTCACCAGCCTTTCTCCTGGGAATCTTCCCATGTATGTGGTATAATATTAATTTGTGCTACCAGACAAATTTGCTATAAAATTAACTGAACTACAGTCACAGAGGCAAATGGAATTCCTTTTATCCTGCGATTTTAAATTGCTGTCTCTTTAAAAGTATTATCTTTGAATTGACAACTCCTACAGCTCAATAATAAAAAGAAAAAATAGTAGACAAGATTTGGCAGTTAAAAGTTAATGTACCTACCTTTTGATTCAGCAGTTCTAGATAATTCCAATAAGAAATGAAAACATGTCCTTGTGATGTTCACAGTAACTTTGTTTACGATTAGTCCCAAACTGGAAACAGTCCAAACAGGTATCAACAGGGGAATGGATACACAAATTGTGCTGTATAAAAATATAACAGAGCATTACTTAGCAATAAGAAGGAATGAAATTACTGATATGTACAAAAACAAATAATCTCCCTGGCATTATGCTAAACTACAGAATCTGGGCACAAAAAAGCACAGATTGTGGGATTCTATTTATATTGCGGTTGTAAAGCAGGAAAAATTAAAGTGAAAAAAATCATGGGGCACCTGGGTGGCTCAGTGGGTTAAGTGTCTGACTTCGGCTCAGGTCATGATCTCATGGTTCAGGAGTTCGAACCCCATTGGACTCTTTGCTGTCAGCATGGAGCCTCCTTCAGATCCCTGTGTTCTCCTCTCTCTCTGCCCCTCCCTCCACTTGCTTGTGCATGGTGTATCTCTCAAAAATAAAGTAAATATTAAAAAAATCAGAGCAGTGGTTGCCTCTGGTTGGGGAGATTGCCTGGGAAGGGACATGAAGGAACTTGCCGGGGAGATAGAAATATTCTGTCTCATGATAAAAGTGCATCCACTTGTCAAAATTGTGCAGTATAAGGTCTATACATTTCAGCATATATAAATCTGACCCCAAAGAAAGTTGTAAAAAATAATTGGTGTGTGTGTGTGTGTGTGTGTGTGTAGTCAATGGGTAAAGATACATAGATGAAACAAGAATGTATAAATATTAATTGTTGAAGGTAAGTGATGTGTACTTGGCAGTTCATTACATTAATCTGTTTACTTTGTTTATATTTGAAATTTTCAGTAATCAATTTTTTTTTATTTTAATTTTTTACTTTTTTTTTTTTTTTTTTTTGAGAGACAGAGTGAGACAGCATGAACTGGGAGGGCCAGAGAGAGAAGGAGACACAGAATCTAAAACAGGCTTCAGGCTCTGAGCTAGCTGCCAGCACAGAGCCTGATGCAGGGCTCTAACTCACAAACTGTGAGATCATGACCTGAGCCGAAGTTGGATGCTCAACCGACTGAGCCACTCAGGCGCCCCAGTAATAAAAAGTTTAAAGTGATTATAATGTAAAATTTCTTAGTTAAAACTGCTAGTAATCATAGTGTCATAAAAATAAAACTTGTTCCTAATGTTTTTCTCAAGTATTAGAAACTACTTTAGAGAAGCTTGAGGTGGGGCAGGGCGAGGCAGAGGGATGTGGACTGGGAGGACCTGAGCTGAGAGCCAGAGTGTGCACCGCACGTGCGACCTTTTCCTGCTCCTGCCAGAGCTTCCAGAGAGGCTTTTTGTTTTGTTTCATTGTTTTTTAAAAGTTAATTCATTTTTGAGAGAAAGAAAGAGAGAGACCATGCACATGCAGGAGTGGAGGAGGGGCAAACGGAGATGGGGACAGAGGATCTGAGCTGGGTTCTTTGCTGACAGCAGAGAGCTTGGTCCGGGGCTCTAACTCAGGAACTGTGAGATCTGACCTGCGCCAAAGGCAGACCCTTAACTGACTTAGTCACCCAGGTGCCTCTGTTTTATTTAAAGAAATGTATATGTATCAGAATGTCACAACAAAGGAAATTAAAATTCAGTATATGAACTTTCTCCCTACTTTAAGTTTTTATTTTTTACTTATTTAGTTTTGTTTTGAGAGAGAGAGTGTGTGTGTATGTGGGGAAGGGGCAGATAGAGGGGGAACGAGAGAGAATCCCAAGCAGGCCCCACACCACCAGCTCAGAGCCCAATATGGGGCTCAAACTAATGAACTGCAAGGTCATGACCTAAACCAAAGTCAGACGCTTAACCGACTGAGTCACCCAGGTGCTCTCCTACTTTAGCTTTTCCCAGAATTATCTGTGTATCAGATAGTCTCCATTATATTCCTATTAATTGTTTTAACTTTGAACAGAGATATTTTGTGTTGATTTGTTTAATAGAATTTAATATGTTTAGTAAATTGTTTACTTTGAGGATGTATAGATTTTAAAAATTCTTTATTAGGATCAATATACTTTAATAATAAATGAAAAACATATAATAATACAAGATTTATACAATAATGCTTTAAAAAAATTTTTTTTCTTTTATAGTTTATTGTCAAGTTGGTTTCCATCTAACACCCGGTGCTCATCCCAACAAGTGCCCTCCTCCATGCCCATCACCCTTTTTCCCCATCCCCCACCCCCTTTTTTCACATTATTTTTAATAGCATCTTTTGTTCAGATAAATACTTGGTTGATAAAATATATATTTATTTTCTGTAAATAAACAGAAGCTACAAAAGATAACCTAAGCCAAAGTTATTTCCTGTCTTTTCTTTGGAAACTAGGTCTGCGGCCGTTTTCCTTACCATTGGAATGATAGAAATAAGGTTAGTGGTGGGCAGTAGCATAGGAAAAGAAATGGTGAAGTGTTGGCCAGCAGTTTAGAGTTGGAACCTTAGATTAGTAGCCTGGAAAAGATAAAGACTAAGTAGGTGTGAGAGAATAAGATTTGAAGCTAGAGCTTGGAAGAATCCAGAGATTCTGAATCTAGAGACTGTCATCCCAGAGAACTACCATCGGTTAGGAAAGCCCTAGGAAGGGCGCCTGGGTGGCTCGGTCAGTTAAGCGTCCAACTTCAGCTCAGGTCATTATCTCATGATTCCTGAGATTGAGCCCTGCATCAGGCTCTCTGCTGTCTGAACAGAGCCTGCTTTGGGTCCTCTGTCCCTTTCTCTCTCTGCCCCCCCCCCCAAAGGAAACATTAAAAAAATAATGAAAGAAAGCCCTAGGAAGGTGGAACCAAAAGATTGGATATTACCTCACTGTTAAGGTGGAATAAAGTATGGGATTTCATAGCTTTTCTCTGAAGCAATCATCTTTCTCCTCCACTGTTGACATTTCCAGAGATGCTAATAAGACTAATGCATTTTATAATAAAATAAGAATCAGGGGAGCCTCTGATTCTTTTCATAGCATCATTCATATTTTCTCAGGATATGAAGTCCTTTTGACTGATTGCCTCTGACCAGTGAGTGTTCTTCTACACTGGAGAGTTCTTCAACATTACGTTCTCAGCATTACAATGTCTTTAGTTTTTTTTTCTTCTAAGTCTGGGTAAGGAGTTCCATGTATGCAATGGGGAAAAAAAATACAATGAGTTGATAAGGTATTTTCAGTACAAGGATACCAATGATAGTTTAAAGTTCATGTTCTAGGGGCATGTGGGTAATTCAGTCAGTTGAGTGCCATGATCTCGTGGTTCATGAGTTCAAGCCCCACATCAGGCTCACTACTGTCAGTGCATAACCTACTTCAGATCCTCTGACTCTCTCTCTGCTCCTCCCCCTCTTGTGCTCCTTTAAAAAAAAAAACCCACCAAAAAAAACCCCATTTAAATTTCATGTTCTATTATATAGTCTAAGTTTTATTATTAAACTTATCTTCTCTGACCTGTTTTTCATAGATCAGTTTTGGATTCTTTCTACTGAGGCAGTCCACCAAGTCATGGGCCCTAGGATTTCAGGTTTATGAGAATCTCCTGCTGAAAGGGAATGGACTCTTCCTAGTTTACTACCATTATTTTCTTGTAAAAAGAATCAAGCTCCTCTGCAACTTAAACAGACCTTTTATCACAGAAACCTTTCTTAATCATGTCTTAATTCCATTATCTTATGTCCCATTTGTGGGATTGTTAAATATTTGCTTGAGTAACTGGGGAATGCTTTAGACTTTTCAGGAATATTTATATTCTTTATGTAATTTGTTACTAAATCCTACTAGTAACTATTAATTCTGCTTCTCAATATCTGTGAATTCTGTATCCTCCTTTCTGTATACCTGGACTGTTGTTCTATCAAATTATTCAACTTATCTCTAGTCTTTTTTCCTTTTGCCTATTCTAAAATGTGAGTATGACCACTTTCTCTTCAGTGACTCCCAGTGACTCTTTACCTAAATCTCAATTCTTCAGCATGAAACAAAAGCCTCATCTCCTCATCCTCCTTCTTCCTGTGATATAGCAGTATTGGATTTCTTACAAATTTTTGAATACACAATTTGTTTCTTCTACTTAGAATGCCTCCCATTTTTCCAGATTTCTTTTCTGCTGAATTCCTGCATTTCCCTCACAAAGCTGGCTTAACCTTGTCTATAGAATCTGCCTTTTGTTTGTCTCACTCCTGGCAGCAAGAGATGGTCGCTTCCTGTATATATTTCACACTGCATTATGATTGCTTATTTTGTACCCTTAACTAGACAGTTTTTTAAGTGAGGCATTATATCCTATTTATTTTTACCTTCTTGGGATCCAGTACCATGCCTAAATTGAGTGGCACAGAAAGTTATTTTTTTAAAGGATCTTAGAGTTGAGTTTTAGCTTCTCCAGGGAGAATTTTTTATTTTTTTAATTTATTTTAATTTTTAAGTTTTTAAGAGAGAAAGCGAGGGAGGGGTAGAGAAAGAGGGAGAGAGAATCTTAAGCAGGCTCCATGCTCAGTGCAGAGCTCCACGTGGGGCTCCATCTCACCGCTGTGAGATCATGATCTGAGCCGAAATAGAGTTAGACATTTAATTGACTGAGTCACCCAAGCATCCCTAGAGAGGATTTTTAAAGTGAAAACAGGCTTGTACTTGTAGTTTTTTCCCCTTCTTTCTAATGTGAGAGATGAGTCCACTATGAGTAGACTGATTAATTAACAGTAGTGGAAAACGGGGCTAAATGGTCAAATAAGTTTTGGAAATCTGAGTTAAATTTAAGTGTATTTCTTCAGTTATGAACTGTAAATCTCTTAGAAAAGGGATATAGCATACAATGTTTATTTAACTTAAATTTGAGTATAGAACCTTTTCTCAAGAAATACGTGTTGATACTGCTGGTTTTGCATACAACATGGATTGGTAGCAGTGCTTTTACAAAATGATTTATACTCTGACAACAAAACAGTTAACAAAGTTAGTTTGGACAGCTTGATACTATATAGTTCCTTCTATGAGGCTGATTAGTGGATATTTCATAGAGTTGGGATTTTGGCCAAAGAGTGAACCACTCCCTCCCACCAACAGACACACATGCCAACTCAGGAAGTAAATGGTCCCATGTAACTTTAGGGCTTCAGAAAATTAAACTTTTGTTTTCACTAGCAATAATCAATTGAAGGTAAGGCAGCATATTTTATGTATATTCATGCATGTATATCCTTTTAGTTTTTCTGGTATTTTAGGTTTTGTGTGGCTGGTTTTTCACTTAAGAATTAGTAGGAATTCTTTTGTAAAAGGTCATTAAAATAGTTGAATCACTATTTAACTTGACTCATTGAAATGAAGAGTAACTTACTTTTTGGTAGTTCATATAAAGTTAACTCTAAGATGGGAAACAGAGTGTTGAAAATGGAACTATTAGACATGGACTTTAAAGTTGGCATAGTCAAAGAACTATAAGACAAGATTGAGAATTTTGGCAGATCAGTTAAAACCATAAAGCAAATCATCTGTAAATTCAAAACTGAAAATACATGAACATATTAAGAACTCAGTGTATAGTTGGCAGAACAGCTTAGACACAGCTGAAGAGAGAATTAATTAACCAAAAGATCGGTCAAAGGAAGATAGCCACATTGAAGCTCAGAGAAATAGGATAGGAAATAAAGAGTTCAAAGACATATGAGATAAGATGGAAAGGTTTAACATCTGTATATTAATAGTCCCAAAAGGAGAAGAAAGCGAGATGGACATAAATAATATGGATATACTTTGAAGCCATGGATTCAAAAAGTGTTGTGAATTCTAAGCGGGAGAAATACAAAAATCCCTTACTTAGGCATAGAATAGTAAAATGTTAGAAAAGTAAAGAAAAGAAGAAAAACCTTAAAAGCAGCTGGGGGAACATTTATTATCTTTAAAAGAGCAATAATAATACTAATTTATAGCTGACTTCTCAGTAGAATCAATGGAAGCCAAAGGACAGTGAGCTAATATATCTGAAGTGCTAACAAATCTTATCTGTCAGATAGATTGTTAGAATCGTTTATCGTTTACCCATCAAAAAAAATTGTTTACCCGTCTTTTAGAAATGGAGGTGAAATGGGAGCTCTTGGCTGTCTCAGTTGGTATGATATATGACTGATCTTGGTAGACAATGATCTTGGGGTTATGAATTCGAGCCCCATGTTTTTTTTATTTTTTAAGGACTTCCCTTTAATAGTTTATTGTCAAGTTGGTTTCCATATAATACCCAGTGCTCATCCCCACGAGTGCCCTCCTCCATGCCCATCACCCCCCTTCCTCCCCCACCCCATCTGCCTTCAATTTGTTCTCAGCATTCAAGAGTCTCTCATGGTTTGCCTCCCTTCCTCTCTAACCAGAGCCCCATGTTTACTTAAAAAAAATAAAAAAAGAAAGAAAGAAACGGAGACAAAATGAAGATACTTTTCAGATAATAACCTAGAGAATTTATTTTGGGTAAAATTGCATATATTGTATTGGCTGTATAAAACAAAAACATAGGATTTACATATTTATAGAATTAACAGTGCAAAACAACCATATATAAGTTAGAAGGGGAATTGATATGGGTTTGAAAATTTATATTAAATTATTCTGCTTCTAGAAGACATACTTTACATGTAAACATAGAGAGAGGTTGAAAGCAAAGGGATGGAAAAGATGCATCATGCAAACATCAATTATAAAACTGATGTGTGTGTATTAACATCAAAGCAGGCCTTAAGACATAATTATTAGGAGAAGAAAGAGGAACATTTCGTAGGGATAAAAGATTCAGTTCATCAAGAAAATAATTCTAAATGTATTCCTATAATAGCATAGTCTCAAAATGTATAAAGCAAAAATTGTCAGAATTAAAAGAAATAGACAAATTGATGATCATAATGGAAGATATTAATATCCTTCTCTCAGTAAATGCTAGAACAGTAGACAAAATTAATATAGATGTAGTCCTTTCAAATAATATGATTAACTACCCTGACCTAATTGACACATGTAACACTGTATCGCATGATTTCAGAATATATATTTTTTAAAGAACATTTACCAAAATTGATTATATTCTGGTCCATGGAGCAGATGTCAGTAAATATAAAAGGATTGAAATGATACTGAGTATGTTCTCTGACCATATTGGAATTATTCCAGGAATCAGTAAAAAATAGGTAAGTAGAAAATTTCTGTAAGTTTGGAAATTAAGAATAAAATTCTAAATAATCCATAGGTCAAAGAAGAAACTCAATTGAAACCAGCAAATATTCTGAATTTTAATGAAAGTATGACAATCAAAACTTGTAGGGTACAGCAAAAGTCATGTTTAAAGGAAATTTATAGCCTTAAATTTATGAATTAGGAAAGAAAGGCTGAAATAAGTGACATAAGTATTTATCTCAAGGAGTTAGAGAAACAATAAACAGATTAAATTAAAAGAAAGTAGAAGGATATGACCCAGACAGCACAGTTAACAAAAACAAAACAAGTGGGCTTATACCAAACGAAAAAGTTTCTGCACATGAAAGGAAACAATCAACAGGGTGAAAAGACAATCCAGGGAATGGGAGAAAATAGTTGCAAACTGTAGGTCTGATTAGGGATTACTTTCCACAATATGTAAGGACTGTGTAACAACTCAGTAGCAAAAAAACCTCATCACTTTATTTAAAAATCAGCTAGTGACTTGAATAGACATTTCTCCAAAGAAGACATACAGATTGCCAGCAGGTATATGAAAAAATGCTCAACATCACTAATCATTAGGAAAATGCAAATCAGAATCACTGTGGGATATATCACCTCCTCCCTCTCATGATTGCTGTTATGAAACAAATAAAAGACAACTAATATTGACAATTACATGGAGAAACCAGAGTCTTGCTTACTGCTGAGGAAATGTAAAACAGTATAGTTGCTGTTTCAAGGCGGTTCCTCAAAAAATTACTAATTTTTTTTAATGTTTGTTTTTGAAAGAGAGAACATGAGTGGGGGAAGGACAGAGAGAGAAAGAGAGAGAGAGGGAGTCAAAAAGTTAAAAGTAGAACTACAATATGATCCAGCAATACTGGATAAATATCAATCCAAAAGAACTGAAATCAGAATCTTGAGAGAGATTAGCACTCCTGTGCTTATTACATCATTGTTCACAGTATCCAAGATGTGGAAACAGTACATATGTCCATTGACAGATGAGTGGATTAAGGAAATGTGGCATATACCTATAGTGATATATGGCATACAGTCTTTAAAAGGGAAACTATGAAGTATCTAAAATAGTCAAATTCATAGACTCACAGAGTGGAATAGTGGTGGCCAGGAACTGGGGCAAAGGGGAAATGAGTTACTAATCAACAAACATAAAGTGTCATTAGGCAAGGTGAGTAAGTTCTAGAGGTCTGCTGTGCAACCTTATACCTATTGTCAATAATATATTCGATTATTAATATTAATATTAGTATGTGTTAATGCATATACACTTAAAAATTTGTTAAGAGTAAATCTCATGTTAAGTGTACTTACCAGAGTAGAATAAAATTTAAAAAAATAAAATGGAAGGAAATAATCAAGAGTAGAAATCAATATAATAGAAAACAAAATGCATTAGGGAAGATCAACAAAGCCTAAAATTGGTTCTTAGTCTTTTCAAATAATATTGATAAACCTGGCACAACTGTCCAGAAAGAAGAGTGAGAACATAAATCATGAATAAAAAATGAGATATCACTCTAAATCCTACACCCAAACCCATTGAAAAGATGGGAAAATATGAACAAATTCTTGAACTGATTTTGACCATACTAAATCTTGTAATAATCTGAATTTTTTTTTCCAAAATAGGCACAACAGCAGAAAACCTTCAGTGTTGCTCTGCAGAAGCAAAATCATGTACAACTTGGGAAGAATATGTACTTCAGTGATAGAATTCCAGAAGAAAGGAATGAAGTTGAATTGAAACGTGCATTCGAAGAAGAGGATGAAAATGAAGAGGAGGTGACAGGAGTTCTTTCCTTTTTCCCCCCTTCTCTCCCTCCCTCTTCTCCTTCCCTTTCTTCTTTTTTTTTCATAACTTTTTTCTTTTGAGTTGTAATGTGCATCTTTGTGACTATCAGTATTCCCATTTGCTAAGTGAATTTATATAGATACAGATCAATTTGTAATGAGCTACATTTATAAGCCATACGTAGTTGAACCTAGGTATTCTGCCATAATTAGCAGTAAAATTGTAAATGTAATGATTTTTTTTGCTGTGATCACTCATTTTAATTTATCTGTGGCAAACTTTTAAATTCATGATGGCTGACCTTGCTGTTAGACTTACTCTGGTCTAAAGACTCCCCTCCCCCCCAATTAGTGCTAAGACATGACAAAATGATTCTAATATGATTAAAGTTTTTTAATTCTTGAAAAAGTTTTGTCTAGAAAACCTGAAATCATTCTTAACTACTCACTTTCTTTCATCCTGTATATCCAAATTTATTCCTAATCTTACTCTCTGCACAAGTCTTCAATTGAGCCTACTTTCTGTCTTTTCCTTTGAATTTTTTTTTGAATTTAGTTAATATCAAAAGGAGCCTGTTGTTTATAAGGTTTGCCTTGTCAGTGAGATTTTAAATTCTTTTTCTAAGGACATAGTCAGGGCATAGTATGAACTTTTAATTAACTGATGAATCATATGAATATGTGCCCATGGTCTTCTCTGAGTTTGGAAAACAACTGAATGTTCAGTATGAATGTTTCTACTATATGCCTGAGGATGAGTGAGACTATATGTATTTATGTGTGTGTATCTCCATGTATGTGTGTAGATACACACATGTATTTGCATATATATGTAAGTGTGTATATAGATACATGTATATATGAGTATGTATCTGTGTATATATCTATATATAGATATGTGTGCATATGTAGTGGAATCTGATATTGTACTGAATACACACAAATAAACTGCCTAAGACAGTTTAATGTCTTCTTTATGTGGAATTAGTGTGTCCTGATTAGTCCCTGGAAATTAAATAAATGTTTTTGAAAATTTTTTTTGTTCTTTCTTAATCAGTATTCAGAGAATCTCTATATTCTCTTCTCAGTCTCTGTTCTTTAATCATCTTATAATCTAAAACACTCAACAATGATGAGTAATACATAAAGAATGAACTGTTGAATAAAAGCCAAAACAGTTCAAAGGCATTATGTTAATACTGTATGATTTTTTTAGTTGATAAATGTTATAACATGAAGTCTATGAATCTCCTTGTCTGTCTTTAGCTTCCGTTATCCAACAGTAAGCTAGTAGTTTAATAATTTTTAAAATGTGGTTTTATTTCTCAGGTGTTAACTGTTCAGGATCTGGTTGATTTTTCTCCTGTTTACCGATGTTTACACATTTATTCTGTTTTGGTGAGTATCTTCTATATATGTATAGTCTGTGTGCGCGCGCGCGCGCGTGTGTGTGTGTGGGCGTGCGCGTACGCACATGTATGTGTATATACACATAAATATTTGTATAGTAAGAAAGAAATGTACACATCTTAGGCCTGCTTTCCTTGTTTTCTAAATTTTTTTAAATGTTTATTTTTGAGAGGAGGAGAGACAGAGTGCAAGTGGGGGAGCTGCAGAGAGAGAGGGAGACACAGAATCGGAAGCAGGCTCCAGGCTGTGAGCACAGAGCCTGATGTGGGGCTCAAACTCATGAACTGTGAGATCATGACCTGAGCCGAAGTTGGAGGCCCAATCGACTGAGCCACCCAAGCACCCCTAGGCCTGCTTTTCTAAAGGTTTACCATAAGTTCAGTGAGCTGTAAATCTTCATGCGTAAATATTTGTGAAATATTCCCTGCGAGTAAAGCACTTACTTTTCTATAAGTTATCATAATCTGCTTTCAAGTGATACACCACATCATGTAGAAGAACCTTACAATAGTATACTTTCATTTCACTCTTCTTATATTTGTACAGTTGTTGTATCACAATTACTTTTAAATATGTTGCTTCTACATATGTTTACTTCTTCAACATTGTATTCATTTTTGATTAAGCAATTATTCTTTCAAAGAATAATAACATTATTGGGGCACCTGAGTGCCTTAGTTGGTTAAGCGTCTGACTCTTGGTTTTGGCTCAGGTAATAATCCCACAGTTCTTGAGTTCGAGCCTGCTTGGGGTACTCTCTCTCTCTCCTATCCTGCTCATGCTCCATCTCTTCTTCTCAAAATTAATAAATAAACTAATTCCAGAACATTTCATTACCAAAGAAAGAAACCTCTTCCCCATTAACAATCATGCCTCATTCTCCCCTCCCCCTAGTCCCTGGCAACCACTCAATTTACTTTCTAGCTCTATAGCTTTGCTTCTTCTGGATATTTCATATAAATAGAATCATAGTAAATGTGGCCTTTTTTGTGTTTTGGCTTCTTTCACGTAGTTGGGAGCTTAGGTTATTGATTGAGATCTTTTTTGTTTTTAATACAGACATTCACAGGTATAAGTTTGCTTCTAACCACTGCTTTAGCTGCATTCCATTAGTTTTGATATGTTGTGTTTTTGTTTCCATTAATCTCAAAATATTTTCTAATTTCATGTTATTTGTTCTTTAACCCAACAGGTGTGTAGAGGTGTGTTGTTTCATTTCCATGTTTGTGAATTTCCCTAAAGTTCTTCTGTTATTAATTCCAAATTTAATCTCGCTGTGGTCAGAGACCATACTTTGTACGAATTCAGTTAGTGTCTAGTGTTCTTTATTTTTGGCTCAAGGACAACCTTTTGTATTTCTTTTAGGGAAGGCCGACTAGCATCAAAATCTCTCAGTTTTTTGTTTATCTGGGAATGTCTTAATTTCTCCTTTGCTTCTTTTTTTTTTCTACTAACACCTTTTATTCAGTTTTTAACCATACGAGCAAGAGTCAAAACTGTCAATTTTTCCAGTGGCACTTTCTACACACCAGAAGGTAGTCGAGACTCTCAAAGAAGAAACAGTTTAGATTTTTCCTCCCTTCAAAATGTTTATCAAATCCTGTGTTTCTCACAGGCTTTTCAAACACATAGAAAATAAGAAATAGTCCAATGAATGAAACATACCAAATATCAGTAATAAGGTAAGACACATTCCTTTGGGGAAATGGCTGTTTAAAAAAATCCAGTCTGGGGCGCCTGGGAGGCTTAGTCGGTTAAGCGTCCGACTTTCGCTTAGGTCATGATCTCGCGGTTCGTGGGTTCGAGCCCCACGTTGGACTCTGTCCTGACTGCCAGCTCAGAGCCTGGAGCCTGTTTCAAAGTCTGTGACTCCCTCTCTCTCTGACCTTCCCCTGCTCACACTGTCTCTCTCTCTCCTAGAAATAAATAAAACATTAAAAAAAAAATCCAGTCTGTATATGCAAAAGTAAAGCAAGGAAATTTAGTCTTTTTCTCTTCTTTAAAAATCTGTTTTTCCTAAAATATCATTCCACAAAATTGGAAATGAAGGACTAAAAAGGTGAGGAGAGGGAAGGGAGGGAGAGGGAGCACACATCATTAACACAAAAAGTAAAATTATACAAACTTAAGCAGTTTATAATAGACTAGGGTCATACTCCAGGATACCAAACGCTGGTATAAGAAATTCACCATTCTGCAGGAGCTAGAAGATTTGTACTGCTGCGTGAAGATCAATGAAGAGCAATTAACTACCTTGGAGCAATTCCCCTTCCCACTTCAAATCCGGGTTTCTGCACCATGCCTCTACGGGGCGGTCCTCTCATTCCACCACCCAGCCCACCTCGAGGACCTCCGGTCCCCACAGGCGGTTCTCTTGACAGTCTCCTTCCCGGGCAGTTCAAGTCTTCTTCTCTTCCATATTCAGATGGACCTCACCTCTGAACATGATGGGCCTGTTGCTAAGGACCTTCTGAACAGGCCTTTTGAATCATCAAACACAACGAAACCAAAATTGGGTAATTTCCCACTGCTGTTAATGCATAGCTCTACCACATTCCCGTAACTTTGAAAAAAATCTTTAAGTTCCAGTTTATCCACTTCATGTGGCAGATTGCCGATGAAAAGTTGGTGACTATCAGGGTCTCACAGTTCTTTGGAGTTCCACGTCACCTTGCTCACCAGCCTCATGGATTGGTCTAGGTCCCCTCTGGGGAGGAATATTTATTCATTGCTCTCACACTCTTTGATCCCTCTGAGGCTTCTGCGGCGGAATCTGAGGCCTCTCCGGACGAGGCTGTGAAGTTGGTACTTTAACAACATGACATGGTATCCCAGTAACCAAGACAGCTCCACTGGATGGAAGATTTTTACTGGTCACAGATGCCCAAGAAAATGTCCTCAGGTCCTCCTGGACTGTCTGCACTATGTCTGCAGGTGCAGGGGAAGAACTCTTCTGAGCATCCTCAGGAGCACTTTCTTCCAGCACTGGCTCAGACTTTTCCTCTTGGATTTCAGACACAGGTTCTTTCTTGCTCTGGTTCTGGTTCAGGATCAGGCTCTGGTTCAGCAACAGGTTCCTCTAAATGTTCTTCCTAATCATTGCTGACAGTCTGATCATAGAAAGTTCCAGAATCATCAGATACCACCTCGGGTGTCTGCTGTCTTTCTTCGAGTTCCTCTACCTCTTCCTCAGATTCCTCCTGAGGCTCAGTGACAAAGCCAACAAAGACCTCATCTTGGTATGTGAAGATGTCATTGTGAATGTAGAACTTGTTTGCAACAGAGCCCTCAGGAGCAAGGACAAATGTCTGCATGAATTTCCTCAAAGCCTGGTTGTTATTGGAGAGTAACTCCATCACCTGGACCACCATACCATCGTTCAGAGTGATATGAGCTTCAACATGGCGGATCTTAGTGTAGCAATTGGTAAAGTTTTGTGACATGACTTTCCTGTGGATTTCTTTTTGTCCATAGACCGCATCTTCTGGCTTTCCATTTGAATCCAATCCCACATGGCCATAAGAAGAGTTCTTTCCATAAAATCTGTGTAGCATGTCTGGGGCCTGGTTCAGCAGCGTGTAATACTGCCTCACAGATTCCCACCCGACCAGCAGGGGACTAGGCTTCTCCATAACCATTGCTTTGGTCAGTTCATCCTGCGCGACCGAGAGGGAGAGGAACAAGCTTTGCTCCACAGCACGGCAAAAGGCAAAATCTCACGCAGCTATGTCCGCCTCTCCTTTGCTTCTTATGAATAGTTTTGCTAGATATAGAATTTTTGGTCTTTTTCTTTCAGCACTTAGAGTATGTCTGTGGAAGGCATTTATATTTGAATATGTCTACAGAATGCATTTAGAGGTAAGGAGTTTTGAGGTTTGGATTACTCACTGAAATTGGATTAAGTTAAAATAATTGAAAAGGAATGGTAATTATGTTAATTAGAGCAAATACAATTATCTTCATTAGTTAACTTAATTTTTCCTTTTAGTTCCCTACTAAAAGCAGGACCAACTCTGCCTGTGAGCTGAGATAAAAGTGATAAGCACATTATCAATCTAAACATACTGTTTTACAAATTAGTGATGTTTCAAGTATGTTGTGCATTCTTGAATAAACCTGTAAAAAATTTTTTCTTGGTAAAGCTATAATAAATTATACTATCATTTTTGTTTTGTTTTTAAAGGTTATTTGTTTATTTTGAGAGAGAACATGTACTTATGTGTATGATGAGGGACGGGCAAAAAGAGAGGGAGAGAATCCCAAGCAGGCTCCATGCTAACAGCATGAATTCAGGAACCATGAGATCCTGACCTGTGCTGAAACCAAGAGTTGGATACTTAACCAACTGAGCCACCCAGGCACTCCTGAATTATACTATTGTATAAAAACAATGATACTTTTAGTCTGTTCTGTGATGAAATAATTCTTTCAATGTGTCTGATTATAAAATATTTTAACTGCTCAAATTCTTTTCAAAGTTAGTGTTTTATCTTTTATAATATCAGGTAGTGGTATATACATTTAACTACATTTACAACCTAAAGCAAACAGAGGATAGGTTCCATCAAGATTACATTACGATATATAGTAACATTGAAAAATTGGCCTCCAGTTGTCTGATCTCAAGATTTTCCTTTTTCCTTTTTTTTTTTTTTCCCTTTGTTTTGCTTCTAAACTAGATCATCTTGGCCTCTAATCAAGATGCGGTTCTTAATCATCTCAGTTGTTAAAGTGGCCTCTGTTGTGGTTTGATTCTTTAAAAATTCCTTTCAAATTAGATTTTTGCCCATAGGTTTTTGGGTTTAGTGTAGAAGAATTATTTTTTACTTTGATAATGCTTAATTTTTCTGCTTACATGAGCCCAGGAAACTGGAGTGAGTACCAACAGGCACTTCTGTTACTTTGTGTTAACCTTGTTCTGTGTCTGTATGATGCATAAGGGCAGTGACCATGAGAGTGTTGTTTACTGTTCTTTCTCTAGTGCCTTT